TGATTTATTTGATCATCATAATTAATATCGTCATTATTTGTAATCTATGCAGTGTGTACCAGGTTTGTGGTGCAGTCAAAATTCTTTAAAATTCATTTATTTTAGTATTTGGGTTAAGACTCTTATTAATACTAGAGATTAGAGAGGTATATAGTAAAATTGTTCAAGAAAAATTTTTAATCAGTGTACGAAGAGTAGTTATATATGCAATTTTTCGAGCAAAAGGGATTTTGATGAAATGAGCTGTTCATTTTAAATTTTACCATTACACCTAATATTGCACCCCTTGAATGTATACACAGGTTGCCTAAACTATAAATTAGATTTCAAGATCAGTTGCAACAAAACACTATTAAGAAATTCAAAACAAATATTCGTCGTTCTAACAAAAGGTTTTCGTTAGAAAATTTTACTATACAAACTAACCTTCTTTAGCTTATAATATTAATTCTAACATTAAAATAAACGAACTTTAAAGAATTTATGCTGCAGGCATATAGTACTAACCATAATTATGTTATATTTATCAGATGATGTAGACCTGCTGGTATAATTTATTACTGAATTATGCTGTGATTATTATTTTGTCAACCAGGACATTAAAAATCTGCCATTGGCTATAATTTTAGCCAGCTGGCTAAGTCTTTTAGCTCAGTTAATATCGGCTATAGTTATAGCCGATTATAACCAGCTGTAGCCAACCCTAATCCAGGTTCATTTAAACCCAAGTCAGTTTCAAGTGAACCAAATCTGGATTCAGGCGAACTCAACTTGGTTCAACTGAATCCAAGTGAACCCAATCCGGGTTCATTCAAATCTAAGTCGGGTTCAAGTGAACCCAATCCGGGTTCATTCAAATCCAAGTTGAGTTCAAGTGAACCCAATCCAGGTTTATTTGAACCCAATTCGGGTTATTAGGTCAAAATCAAGTTCACTTGAATCTAATACAGATCCAGGTAAACCCAAATTCAGGACCACTTAAACCCAAAGTGAACCTAAAACAGGTTTACTTAAACCCAACCCAGTTCATTTAAACCCAACCCAGTTCATTTAAACCCAATTTGAGTTACTGGGTATAAATCAGATTTACGTGAACCTAACACAGGTCCAAATGAACCCAAATCAGGTTCACTTGAACCCAGATCCAGGTCCAAGTGAACCCAAAATGGGGTTCAAGTGAACTCAAGTTAGAATCATTTAAATTTAAAAAAAAAGGGAGAATGTGCTCCCGGAGCAACGCCCGGGTCGGAGAGCTAGTTTGATATGCTTGATTGATAGATATTGTGATATAATCATTGATCTGGAATGACACTTTGACAAAAAATAGGTTGCATTGGCTCTTGTATAATTATAAAGATCGTTGAGCCTACGTTCCTGGTTTTAGTGCGACAGCGTCGCACAGCTACCTTATGCAATAATTATGCAAACGGAATGCTCGAACCATCCAAATTTATTACGTGAGTTATGATAATTTGAAATATATCCCGATTTAAATTAAGATATACTATTGCACCCCAATCCTAACGTCTAACCCATCTTTCCACCATTCAACCCACCTTTCCACTATATTTTAATTTTCTTAATTTCACAAATGCGCCGTAATGATAAACTAACCGTTCATCTTACGTTCATTGGACAAATTAAATACGATCAACTCTCTAAACTAACGAATAACAAAATACTTTATAAACTCTAAACTAAACCTTAAAATTTTTATATTATAAAATAAACTTGGGTAAACTTTAGGTTGTTCTGACGATTCCCCAAACTATCCTGCTAAAACAGATAACATGTTACATCTGGTAAAAAATTAATCGACAAGTTTCTGCTATATGTTTCCAAATTTGATAACCTCGGAATACTGATATAAGACTTGTCTACTATTCATATCGATTTTAGGAGATTAAACAGTATATTGATATTTAAATTTTGCAAATTTTTACATTCGAAAAATGTTCACCAGTATGATGTGGCTCAGTGTCTAGATATATATTACGTAATCGATTTTTTTTGATTACAAATTTATTAAATTTATTAGTGTAATCTATTTAAAAAAATGAATTTCAAATGAATTTCAAATAAATTTCAAATTATTGCCTCGATCATACGAATTCTAATGTATCACAAATATTTTAGAAACATTATTTATAAACAGATGTCGCACACTTTGTGCTTTTAAATTTTAGGTTTACACAATTAGAGCCTCATATTCGTATTCGTATTCGTATTCGTTATTCGAACAATTTTTATTACTCATCACGTGCAACTTCAGTCATTGGCTGTTTAATAGATGGTGACTATATATTAAACAGTACTTATTCGAATAATATTAGCCATTCGTCGAATATCCGAATAAATACTTGCTGATTTAAATTATTCGAATATTATTCGAATCAAATTGAATACGGTAAATTATAAATTCAGAAGTCAGAAGCAACCCAAATCAAGATTTTTAACTCTTGTTCCACCCCGAATCATTTTTTAAGAATTTTGTTGAAATGGAAAATTTAATGGCTTGTTCGCCGTCAATAATAAAGTTGAACTTTTTTAAAGTATTTAAGTAAACAAAACAGATCTGTGATATGAAAGAGGTAAAGAAGCCTAGATTATTAATTAACCGCCATAAAAATTCAAGTTTTCATGAATCAATTGTAATAAATCTATAGATACTGAACGAATTTGCATTCTATGTGAGTGCTGCAGATTGAAAAGCTGGAAGTGAATATTTAAGTTTTTATCATGACGAGTTTAGGTATTATTAATTATGGTGTTTCGTAATTTATCATGATTATCTCGTCTAGCAGCTAGTACGTATGTATGTACGCACGTATGTACAGTACGTATGAGCGTATAGTTACCGAAACTACCAGAACACTGATTATCTGTATGTAACATCACAATTCATCAGGAACCAAATTCGCCGTGATGAAATCTTAAATATTTACTTCCAGCTTTACTTTCTGCGGAACTCATATATAAGAAACATTTTCGTTATTGGTTTTGTGTACAGTAAAAATAATATAATATAGATAATAATATCATGTGTAAAAACATTCATAATAGTTTAGTTTGATTAATTATAGTAATTATTATTAAACTACATAGCAATAAATACAAAATTTATTCACTTTCTGAAATCATATTACTGCCAACAAAGTTGTTTCCTATTTTTTGTGCCATTTTGCGGCTGTTGGTTTTATTATTTCATTTATTGTACTTAGTATCGATAGTTATGCTCAGTTATACAACTCAAAGATCTTTCTATCATGTGGCTCGGTCACAATTATATCGTATTTGTTCACGACAACAGCAGAAAGTCTATGAGGCACTAAAAGGCCAAAGAGTAAAGTTTTTGTATATTAAAAAAATTATTATTAAATTTTATGATGGATTGTATATATATATAGTCTTAATTAAACTGTAATAATATACTGTATATGTAATAAATAACTTCAAACTATTCTATTGTTCTATTGCTGCCAATGTGATTCTATTTATATATTTAGTCATCAATATTAGTACTACTCATGCTAGGAGGCACTACTCTATCTTCCACATCTATTTTATCATCATTTTCTCCAATAACACCCCAAACTTTACTTGGCTCTGGACCCATTACGAATTCCATAATCGCACCATTTGCAATATCAGAATGTCTAAACCACGTTTTTTTCCAATTTTTAGTATTGAGCTTTACATTTTGAATATATGGATTTACGTGAGTTTCGCTTGTTAAATTATGGGCCAAAATTGTAAATGTTTTTTGTGATGTCATATTTATTATTACTTTACTAAAATGTGGTGAGTTAATTAGATATATATCTGTGCCGGCCCTATTATTAAAAAAATATATTATTATTCAATTAACAGAAAGAGTATAAGTAATTATTATTCAATTAACAGAAAGAGAATAAGTAATTATTTATAACTTACAGTGGATATAATCCGATTGCATTAAAAGCAAACCAACTTCCCATTGCTCCTGAATCATCATTTCCTGTTCAATAAGATAAATAATTATATATATAAATTAATATTATATTTTAAATTTATTTATAGATTATACAATTTATAACATACCTGGCACACCATCCTGCCCACTTCCAAACCTAGTTTTTAAAATATCTCTAATAATCTCAACACTTTTATATTGCTTTCCAATAAAATGATATAAACAAACATGAAAGAAATCAGGTTCATTTCCTATGTTATAATAACCATTTAGATAAGTTTTATTGGAAAATGTTTTGTCAAGTCGTTCTTCAAAGAGTTTTGGACCTCCTGTTAATTCAATTAATCTTTTTACATCTATTATTTTTAAAAAATAGTGAATAGTTAATAATAATATGATAGAATATCTTGAATAAACATAGAAGTGTAATACTTAAAGTTTTAGATATGTACATACCAAAAGGTATATCTAAACTATATTCCCATGGAGTAGCCTCATAAAATGCATAATGAACACCATCTTCTCCTAAAATATCTATTATCTTATATGTACCATTTTCATACCTTGGCATCATAAATCCTTTTGCACCTTTTATTAATAACATTAAATCTAATAAGTTTAATGTATTTAATACATAAAATAACAATTCATCATATTTACCATTAAAAGTTATATTGGGATTCCACAGATTCTCCCAATAACTTGCTCGTTTTCTGTACTTTATATAGTCATCATGTTTACCCAACACTAAAAAAAAACAAAAATAAATAATGTATAAAATTAAAATTATTCAAGAAATAAAACTACTCCAATTTTATTTATGTTTACCTTTAGCAATCAGACTGATGCTATAATCATTGGCAGAATACTCTATGGTTCTACTGCAAGGGCTAAAACCATACATGTATAAATACTCATCTAGAATAGGTATATAGCCTAATTTTTTATAATACGATAATAAAAATCGGCCCTCGAATAGACCACGATTCTTTGGATCAACTTCTGCATCTTTTATTAAAGCTTCATAAGCAAGATCCCAGTCTATTATGTCCATTCCTAATTTTTTTAGATATGTTTCAACCTATTATAATAATAACAATACAAATAGAATAAAGTAAGATGTTATATTATTTAGAAAAAAAGTTAATTATGATTTAAACCTTACCACGACCATATCACCATTAGATCCACCTTGTGTAATCCCATTCTCCAATCCACTTCTTCCATCAGGCATATATCCTTCATTTTGATATGTATCAATTAATGATCTAACAATGTCTACAGCTCGTTTTTGTTGGAAAAGTGTGAATAATGGATTTGTCGTTCTATATTTACATTCATGAATTATATTACTGTTATAATATATTATAATATTTACATATATTTAATTCATGAAATTTACCTAAATGTGTCCCACTATTAATTTGATCAAATTAAATTAATATTTTTTTCAGATTTTGCAAAATAAATGTCATGGTGAAACTGTGATTGACTGAAGTTGAAATTCAAAACCTATTTTTCTTCTTTATCAAACAAATCTAACCTTAATTCCTAACCTGACTTTGAAAAAAAGTGCACCAAAGATTTTTAACATTTTAATTTCAAATAGTCTTAATATTCAGCTTCAACTAATTTCTGCTTTAGCTAATCTTAGCTTCAGCAAATCTTAGCTTCAGCAAATCTTAGCTTCAGCTAATCTTAGCTTTAGCAAATCTTAGCGTTATTCAACCATAGAATAAGCTAGCTTTAGTTAATCTCAACTTGATTCCATCCAATTTTAGCTTTAGCTAATCTCAACTCATCCAATTTTAGCTAATCTTAACTTGATCAATCTTAACTCCATCCAATTTTAACTTTAGCTAATCTTAGCTTTAGTCAATCTTCAGCCAATCTTAATTTTAGCAGTGATAATAAATAACTTACCAAGGTGTAGAAATCTCCATAATGTGGTATTAAATCTCCATTTTTATCAAATGACTTCCATTTTGGATTCTCACCAGTTCTATTAACATAAATTTAGCGAAATAATTATATAAAAAATAATAAGATAAACTACACACCTATCACTAGGCATAATCATGGTTCTGTATAAGCCACTATAAAAAATGGTTTTAAAATCATCAGTTGCTCCCTCAACATATATCTTTTCTAATTCTGTCTGCCAAGCATTTACAGTTTCTTGTACAGTCTTTTCAAAATTCCAATCCGGTATTTCACTTTCAGCATTTAAACAAGCTTGATCAGCCGAAATAAATGAAATTCCAACTCTTGATTTGATTACCGGATTTTTAGTAGCATTAAATGTTAAAATAGCACCATTAATTTTCCCAAAATATGTGTTTCCGTCAAAATAAATTTGACCTTGATAATAAGGATTATCGCTCGTCCAGGTCGCAAATTCTATAGCATCAACATTAAATTGAGAACAGAAATAAACTATATAGGGACCTCCTTGATTCCAACCTCCCCTATAGCGACCTGCACCTTTTACTTGATTAAATGAAATAGATTGTATTGCCCCGCCGAGATATTGATGAGTATAACTAAATGAATGTATAAACTAATATTATTAACAATTAGGTATTAAAAAAAACTATTTGATAATATAACATACGCATAGGTAAGCACATGAAGATTATGAGGTAAATCAATAATAATTTTAACATTATTTTTGGTCGGAGGAAAAGTATATCGATGAAGACCTGTTCTTTTACTGGCTGCTAGTTCAACTGTAATATTATAACGTTTTAATCCAAATTTTGAATAACCAACTTCAAAATGCTCAAATGAACGTTCTGAATTGAAATTATTTAAATTAAGTGGATCTGCAGGTGAATCTATTACAGGGAATTGACTTATCACTCCGTATTTTGATTCACCTATATTTATTAATATTTTATTTAAAAGAACAATAAGTAAATTAATAAAATATAATATTATATAATATTATGCACTATGTCTATCTCTCACCTCCTGTCCCGCTAACATGCAAATCTTATGAATAATAATGAGTAATTAATAATCATAATAAGCCAGTGATACGCATATACAGGTTATAAACATTCGACAAAAAAATAAATAATGCATACGAGAAATTCCTGTGATATTTCCTTCAGTAGTGTATCTATGAAAGTGAATTATAAAAAAAAATTTCGTTTAAATTCTTTGATTAATTGTCTGGGATGATGTTGAATCGGATGATACGAAATTTGGATTAGTGTCAGTATGAAATTTGATAAATTTTTGGTATATTTTTTATTTTAACATTGGGATTATAATTTAGGGGTAAAGTTATTAACAAAACAAGAGTATTAAGTGGATCTTAATAAGTTTATGGATCCAATCGATATCATCGGGTTTCATATCATCATCCCAACAATAATTAATTTGTTTTTATTAATAATGAGATATTCTTACCCAGCATTAAAATCATAAATTTGATCAGTATCAAAGCCTACTTTAACGACACCAAATGGATGGCATGGGCCAGGAAATACGTGTCCATCTGCACATGATTCAGATCATTAGAAATAATAATAATTAAATAATAGTGGCTAATTTAAAAACATCAAGATCTAAATGTTAATTTTAAGTGTCACTCGAAAAGAAAAATCGAATTAACGTTAATATTAACGTTAAACAAATAAAGCCAAATTTAAGTAAAAAGAGGGATGTAAAACGTCACTATACAGGCTAAGCAAGTTTTTTAGGTTGCATGACGCCCAATGCCAATCTCATACTAATTATGATTTGAGGTATTATTAGTATTAGAAAATCACCTTTAGCGGTTCCGATTAGAGTATCAACAAATCTCGTAACATTTTCATGGTGACTTGATGAATGATTCCCGAATAAGTTTGAATTTTGATAATTTATAGAATTTGTAATCCATTTTGTAGATAAACTTAAAAATAATATCGATATTACGATCAAAAAAATTAATATTATTACAAATCTGTATTTTAATAATTGTTTATTCATCGTTAATGGACGAAGAATCGATAATATAAAATTTAAATTTGTGAATACAAATGCTTATTATATATAAACGTTGCTATTTGTAACCTCGCTAAGTACAACTATTGTCAAACATTTAACTGTACTGTACACATATAAATGTATGCACGTACGTACGTACATACTTGTAAATAAATCTAACTTTATATTTTGTGCTTAAATTTATTTAATATAATTGGTAAATATGATTAGTCCCCATAACAATTAAGGAATACAGTATGTATCAGTATATCGTGGCTAGCGATGTTACCCAAACTATTTGGGACTTCCCAAACTATGTTATGTATAATATCGCATCAAGTATTTACCTCCTTATGGTTATTTCTGAAATCGTATGATGCTATTCATCACATAGTTTGGGACGTCCCAAATAGTTTGGGTAGGATCGCTAGTCGTGGCCACACATATAATTTGAACTTGTGTTGCTCAAAACATCTCTAATGCAGCCCACCAAATGCATGCCCGAAACCCTCCTAAGTGCTAGGCTAATATAATGCTTATAGATTTTTACCTCTCTATTTTCCTCTCTAAATACAATATATTTCTAAATACAATATCTCTTTAAATGCATGTTTGACCAAATTTTTTACTTATGGCCCGTCATAATGCATTTAGATAGGGATGTTTCGTAAACTGATTGATTTATGCTTCGAAAATCACTCGAACACTGTTCCGGAACACATATTTTAAAACTGGTATTTATATATGACTACGTATTAATTATGCTTGCCTGAACATGTTAGTTCAAAATTCATTATTTATTGGAATACTGCATATGCATTAAAAATTACAGATCACAAAGCTTTTTGTTGGTATGATCGGTTTTTTAACTCGATTTGAGCCAATGAGTTTCATTTTACATAGTCAAATTCACGTGATTAAAAACTCGGTTTAACTGGTTTGGGTTTCGAGCAGGGACGAACAGGGTTTAGATAAGCAGGATAATATCTCTATATTTAGAGAGACCTAACTGTATTCTGTTATTTTAGATAAAATTTTACCAAGTCATTTTTAGCATTTTAGATGTTAAAAAAGTAAATAAAGTTTTTTTATATTGCGATGTATTTTATAAAATTAAATTTTCATAAAGAAATTTAAACAAAAATTTTATAAATAAGGTAGCTGCGCGACACTGTCACGCGAAACCAGGAACGTAAATTTATGAATAAGCTAAAGATCATATATGGGAGCTTGTCAATATAAAAGGAGCAAAAAGTTTTTAGTAACTTTTTTTTAAAACTCAAATTAAAATATACCAATAACTACTAAATCAAATTTAATAAAATTTTTTTATTTTAATTTTATCACAATCTAGGATTAAAATAAAATAAAAATTTTATTAAATAAGTATAATAGTTGTTGAGATATTTTAATTTAAATTTAAAGAACTTTTTTACTTAGAAAAAATTTTCCCTGTTATATTTACAAGCTCCCATATATAGGCGACTAGATTTTATATCAAATAATATCATCTAATACATATTTATATTTTTTTTTTCGAAAATTTAGTCATAGATCTCTGCAAAGTTAACACAGGTTATGGAAAAGAAGCATTATCAAATCTATAAACGTAGATATTTTGATACGATCTAGTTATTATTATTACGTTGCATACTTAGGGAGTGCCATTTATTACATAATTTCTTTTAATTAGAAGGTCTGACCGCCTTCCCTCTAGGTGATTGAACAGCTACAATCGTAATTTGTTTATATAATATATAGAAGTGATATGACTGCCAACTTTCCCTTTCCTCTTAAATTATGTAATAAATGGCACTTTCCTTTATATAAAGAAAATAATCAGGCAAAAGGTATAAATTTTAAGCATCTAAATTATGTTTTAGAACATTGAATTAATAATATTATATTATTTATAATTAATTAGATTTATATATAGTAAATAAAAAAATGCTTTTAATATAACTTTTTAATATTTTAACTAATTTATATAAAATTAATATATATGTAATTTCAATGTGAAATCAACAGAACTTTCCAACTAATTCTTTATACACAAAAATACAAAAACAAAACAATAACAGAAAACAACAGAAACACAACTAGCTATAGGAAATCAGACTTGCAGCTCTAAGAAAAAAGCAAGAAGATTTAAAATTATACTCAGTCTCTTAAGAAACTAGAGTAAATAGAACAGAAGCAGCAAAGATATAGAAGAAAAACTTGAAAAATTATTGATATTTTTGCTCTTTACAAGTTATTTGGAGGATTGGCCTTAATCCTGTAATGCAGATCAGTTTTAGTCATACAAGATACACAACACATAATAAAGAATAAATAAAGAAAACATGTTAAACAACACATAATGGACAAAAACAAAAGAGATATACAAATATAGCAACAAAATAGTTATGTGAAGCAAGAAACAATAGAAAATGCCAGAACAAAACTTATAACAGTAAAACAAACAGAGGAATGAATAGAAGCAATATATATAGAATTGAGACAATATAAAGCAAGAAGAATTAAATATACTGAACTTGCACTTAGAAAAAGAAATAATAGAGGCAGTACAGTCAGAATTCAACCCAACAGAACATATTTTACTAGATGAAGTAACCAGTACTATAAGAAACCTATGCATAGCAGAAAGAGAAAGACTGTTTACATATAATAAAGAAAAATAGCTGCCAAGTATACAAGAGTTAGAATAAAAACAAGATGGATAAAAAGACTAGATAAGCAGGGAGAATGCTAACAAAGACAGCACAACAGAATAACATTAGAACTATTATTACATTGCTTTAGAAAATCAGTAGATTAATAGAAATAAAACAAACATGCAGAGAAAAGAAGAATAAAATTAGAAAAGAAAAAAAGAAGATGCAAGTTTAACAAAAAGCAAAGCTTCTGGAATAAAGATATAAAGAAGTTAAAGAAAAAGAAAAACATTGAAGAAAAGAATCACAGAAAGAGATATTGAAGGCCTTACAGAGAAGAAAACTTTAGACAAACTAATCAAAGAATCAAGACCAAGAATTCTAAATAGAAGAGGAAAACTTTATCAACATACAATTCAAAAATCTATAAAGAAAAATATTAAAGAGATAGTAGAGTTTATATATTAAGTAAACTTAGAAAGAAGACAAGATAACATTAAAGATTAGAAAAAAAGAAAATGAAAACCTTGGATAAGTGAATAAACAAATTAGATCATTAACAAATATCAGTATAAATAAAAAAAATACTATACAAGATGCAGCAACAAAGAGAACAATAGGAGTCAAGAATTGGAAAAGAAAAAAGAAAAATACTAGGTTTAGAATAGCAAGAAAAATTATAAAAAAGTAGTCAGAAATTAAGAAAAGTACTTCAGACTGCAAAAGAAGTCATACAAAAGAATAGCAAGCTTACAGAATAAGAAAGAGGAAGCAGACACTTAGTTCTGAAGAGTTAAGAATTGGAAAAGAAAAAAGAAGAACTTCACATCTGAAACAGTAAGAAAGTTTGTAGAAAAACCAAAAAGTTAAGAAAAGTATATAAGAATCCAAAAGATACTTATCAGAAGAAATATAAGACTATGGAGTAGAAGAAAGAAAAAAATACAAAGTTCTAACAAAAGAGTAAATGAAGACTCGAACAAACTAACCAAGATCTAGAAGTAAAAGAATCTAAAGTAGTATTGAAGAAATTTGAAGAAGAAAAGAGCTACAGATGAATAATTTTAAAGAAAATCTGTATAATGAAAACTATCATGAGCAAAAAAAGTAAGGTAAATCTCAGGAACTGAAAGAAACACAAAAAGAAGAGTGAAAATAGAAGACTGAGCGCCAGAGCAGACTACTAGTAAAAAATAAGGAAATGAAGTATAGAAAGATGAATTGGGATAACTATAGAAGATCACAAAAAAAATTAAAAAGTAACAGAATTTTTAGAATTTATAAAATAGAAGATATATAATATAATAATCTTATTTTAAGATTAGTGATTCAATATTTTGCATTGTTCACAAG